GAAAAAGAGGAGATGGTTGCTGGGTGGCAAAACAAAACAAAACAAACCAATATATACCCTCTACAGGCAGTAACTATTAAAATAAAAAAATGCACATATCTTTTGTCTCAATAATCTCACTTTAAGAATTCGATTCTATAGAAAAAAGGTTGCACAATTTAAAAAAGATACATGTATAGTATAAGGATACTTATTCCAGCATTGTTTATAATGGCACAAAATCTGGACAAATCTGCATTATCTCTCAGTAAAGGAATGGCTTCAAAAATTATGGTACATTAATATAATATTGTGCAGCTAGTTAAAAGACAGATAAAAGAATATTCATGATAAATTATTGAATAAGACAAAGACAGTTGCAGAAAAATATATATGGTGTGATTCATTATTTGTAAAAATAAAAATCAAGACCTCTATTTATATGTATGTGTTTCTACAACCATTGGAAAAAGTGTGGAGTGAAACAGCAATCTTTTGACATTGGTTTTATCTAGGATTGGGATGGCGAGAGAACAACTTACCTTTCTCTTTATATACTTCTGCATATACTTTATACACTTCTGTGTTGTTTGAATTGTTACAATGAATGCTTATTACCTTTTATAAAAGTGAATAGAAAGTGAAATGAGGAAGTTTACACTTAAAACATAAACTATTTTTAGATTTGGCGAAAAGAGAGAGAAATTAATCTCCAGTAAAGAAGACTGAAAATATTGAAGACAGAGTAACCGTGGAGCAGGCCTGAGGGGATGGAGAGGATGTTTCAGAGCAAATCCCAAATGAACCAGAGCTGTGACGGCTGCAGTGTTCCCCAGGGAAATGCAAATAAACATAGTAGTTCATAAAATCTAGTTTTTTGGTGTTGCAAATGCATTTCTTTTAGGAAATCATGGTGATAAGAGATGGGAGGACTTTAAAAATGCATACTGTTATTTGTCAAGATTAAAAAGTTAGTAGCCCTATGTCAGTTCCCAAACTGTTAGAAATGTGGATGGTCTGTAAATCCCAAAGTCTGGAAAAAACAGCTCTACAGCAAAGTAGAAAGCTAAGCCTAAGCGAGAAAAGAGATAGTTCTTCCTCTGTGATGGAGGAAAACAAGTGTGTGTGGATATAGACAGACTTGGTAGGTGTAGGGAAAGATGTTGAGGAAGTTATTTCCCATAAGATCTTCCTGTGGTGAGGTCTTTTGCTGGGTTCAGGGTTGCAAGGCTCAGCAGGAGTGATTGTGAGGTTGAGACTTGAGGGGAGTGAGAAAAATGTAGAAGAGCTGCTGTGGGGCATGGGAGAGCAGCCTGAGAGAAACCCAGGTCTTCACATTTGGAATAATACCTGACGATATTTTGTTCAGATTTGCTCTTTCATGAAGTTGTCTTTGATCCGTTTTCTATTCCTTCCCTCATGTGACGCTCCCTCCTCCACCCAGCACTTTGTTTTTATTCCTTTTATGACGTTTATATTCTTTCTTAGTCTGTTTTTGTACTTTTTTTATCTGTACCCACTAAACTGTCTCTGAGTTCATTCATCTATAACCACCTCACAGCACCTCCCAGAGCGTAGACACCCAACTGATTGCTGTTGAAATAAATTTATTCCACATAGAAAACAACTGGATAATAATCAGTATCATCCTGATTAAAATTCTTCACAGTTGTGAAAACAGAAATAAACCATTGGCTTTTTTTTTTTAATTCCTGTAAACTAACTTTTCCTCACATTTTTCATTTCTTACAAAGATACTGTATATCTGGTCATGTTTTGCTTATAAGAGTCTTAAACTACATACCCTTCTAATTCATACACTTCTTTTAAAAATGCCAGAGATCATTAAAATAAACACTCTCATTGTAATAGATATAGAAACTGAGGACCAGAAAAATTAGATTTGCTCAAAATTGCAAAGGTCTTAAGTGACAGAGTCCATATCAGAACCATGTTTTATTGTTTTGGGGGGTTTTTTTTTGTTTTTTTTTGTGTGTGTGTGTGACAAAGATCAGCCCTGAGCTAACATCTGAGCTAATCCTCCTCTTTTTGCTGAGGAAGACTGGCCCTGAGCTAACATCCATTGCCAATCCTCTTCCTTTTTTCCCCCAAAGCCCCAGTACGTAGTTGTATGTCACACTTGCACATCCTTCTAGTTGCTGTATATGGGACGCGGCCTCAGCATGGCCAGAGAAGCGGTGTGTCAGTGCGCGCCTGGGATCCGAACCCGGCTGCCAGCAGCGGAGCGCGCACACTTAACCGCTAAGCCACGGGGCGGCCCCAGAACCATGTTTTACACTTAACCCAATGTGTTTATACTGGGATTCCTGCTCTTAATTTGAATTTTATTTTGTATTCAACTCATAATAGTTAAAGTAATAATAGCAGTTATCTCTGACTAAGCTCTGTCAAAATCAGTACATTAATTACTCTTCATTTTTAAAGATGCCACTATAGGTTTCTGTTGCTGTGTGACAGGGTTGATGTTTTAAGTGGGTAAAGTGCAACATGCCAATTGGGCATTCAGTTGAAGGTTGTTTTATGATGAGTATCATTTGTGTTATTTATGGTTATAATCAAATCTAAAATGTTGACAGTGATGGTTGGTATATCAATCTTTACTCCTGCATTTTATAGTTCATCTTTTATTTATTTAAAGCTCTGTATCTCTTTATTATACTGTAAATTAAAAATATTGAAACAACAGAAAGAATAATAAATCTTCAACATGCAAACATAATTAGGAGGATGCTGCAGGTACAGAAATATACATAGTCTTTTCCCTGGGGAGGCAAGAGATGGCCTATTACAAACCACTACCCTCTTTTCTATTTGCACATGAAAATGAAAACCACTAGCACATTAGCATTAAGAGCATTTTTCTCTTAAAACATGCTCATATAATACCCAGGAGGGCAACTGTAAAAAAGTGAAAAATTTATTATCTGTCAGTGAATAAATATATCAAAAGATTTGTATTGTTTAGTTTTGCTGAAACAGTATGTTATTGTCAATTTAAAAATTACAGTTTTTTATTTGGCAAATGTTATCATTTGACCTTTAACGAAATTTTGAGAGAGAATATTTTCCCAAAAACAAATGAAGAGATTTTTATATAAAATACACACAGAAGAACGTTGCACCAGAAGTCTCCATCTGGAGTTCCACTCCTAGAGGTCAGACTCTCTAGGGTGAGGAAGTTCATGCATACACAACAAAGCTACAGCCTTATTCTGTTGGATGGCTCATTACAGTGCTTGTTGATCTGGTTATATCATACAATTCTTTAAACAAAGCTTCCAGTGATTATTTTAACCATCCCTTATAACATTTTTTATAATGTACTGTTTGCTCTGGTATGTGACAGGGAAAGGCCTTTCATAAGAATTTTGTTCTTCCATCAGAAGAAAGCATTTCAACTCCTCTAGATCATTGTTCCTTCAAATATCCCAAACACAGTAAAGCCCATCTAAATTCCCAAACCTCGTATCATAAACTGTACATTGTAAAACTCCCAAGACTTTGAAATAGAAAAAGACAAGGCTGCCACTCATATGTTTCTTCAGCAATTATTTACCAAGTCATTACTGAGTGACAGGCACTGTGCCAGGAGCTGTAGTTATGAAAGTGATAAGACATTGTCCCAGTGCTCACAGCGTGACACGGACACTGAGCAGACCAAACACGATGCATAGGAGGAGGGTGCCAGAAAAGCGACCTCACAGTGCGGGAAGCCGGGGACACGGCAACCGGCCTAGTCTGGGCGAGCGCGGCAGAGAGGTGGCCTGTCGGCGGGGTCTCGAGAAACTGGGGAGGAAGGTCATCCCGGCCGGGCTCCGTGACTAGGGGAGAGCAGCGCGCACAGAAAGCGAGGAAGGGGACAGACGACAGGAAAAGGTGCGAGCGGCGAGACTGGCTGTGACTGAGACCTGGGTAAGCCAAGTCGGCGAGGTGGCCCGGGGACAGAGCTTCAGCCCGCGAGAGCTGTTAGCTGGACAATGGCGTGGGCGGGGGGACTGGAAGGACCACCTGGAGGAAGAGGGGTGGACACACTGCAGGCAGAGCAGTCAGGAACTTGAAGAAATTGTCCACAAGAGGAATTCTGAGGTTAAAGAGTCCGTGACTTCGAAAAACAGTCTGTAAAGGTATTTGAGGTAAAACAAAAGATGTGACGACCCAACAGGGAAGACACAGAACGTTAGAATAGAATAGAACGTTCCACACGGCAAGCTCCGACAAATTATTGATGAATAATCACATGTCACTATCTAACCACAGAGTGGAGGTCCTTCAAGTTAATCGCGATCAAGTTAATTTTTTGTTGTGGGAGTTAGGACATGGTGATATGCCTAGGCTCGGGGAGTCACGGTGAGGCTCGCAGTTTTTAAACGCCCCCCAGGAGGGAAGAAAGAGGTGGGCTTACAAGTTACGGACACTTCAACCTTCCCGCAGGACGACTTCAGGTGGGCAACTCTCTGGGTGAAAACTCAACCCACCGCCGAACAACACATTAACACTCTTTTCAAATATCAGATAAACATAAAGATAGGATAGCAAATGCCGTGCAAACCCCCTCACGTCCAAGTTCCCAAGAGCCTCCTTCACTTGCTCGGGCGACTCAGCCCGTACAGCCGCCAAAGCAGCGCGGACTTCAGCGCTCCAGGCAAGGCGCACGCGCACATCCCGCAGCGTGGAAAGAGGGCGGGGTCGACAGGATGTTTCCCAGAAGCCCGCGCCGCTCGCTGCCATTCTCCCTCCCGCTCACAGGCCGCGTGACGTGACTCCGCCCGCCACGTTCCTCTGTCGCAAACGGCGGTTTGCCGGCGCCCCCCTGTGGTCCCGTTGAGCGCTGCAGCCGGGGCCGCAGGGCCAGAGCGAGCGAAAAGGGAGAGTGCCGCGGGTCCTGCCGCCGCCGTCGTCACCGTAGCGCGTCGACATGTGGCGGCGCGGCTGAGCGGAGCGGAGCGGGGAGGGGTAGGGACCGCGCGGGGAGGGGAGGGAGGAGGCCAGACAAGGCGGGGGGAGGGGGAGCAGCGGTGGCGCAAGCCGCGCGGAGCAGCGCAGCCCGGGTCAGCTCCCTGCTCCGCCGCCGCCGCCGCCTGCCGCCCCGGCCGGCAGCGCCGGCGCCCCAGCGGCCCCCGGAACACCTCCAGGCGGACGAAGGAGTCCATGTTGGGGAACTTGGCGGCGGCGTGACGGGGACCTAGGGACCTGCAGTGGGGCCGCCACCGGAGCAAGCACGTCGACCTCGGCCTGAGGTAAACACGGGCCGCCCCGGGGGTGGGTGGGCTCGGGCAGCTGTCGGGCCGACGTGGGGGTTGCGGGCCGGCGCAGAGCGGAGGAGCGGGCCCGGGGCGCCGGGAGGACCGACAAAGTTTCGGAATCCCGCGCGGCCCAGGCGGCGTTCTGCGCTCGGAGGAAAGTTGCAGCTGCCTCTCGAGGCGGGGGAAGCGGCGGCGGGGAGGGCCCCCTTCCCTCTCGCTGCCCCGCGGGGGAGGCCCGGCCCCGGCCGCCGCCGCCGCCGCCTCTCTCGGCACCCCGTCCCATTTCCTCCTTGTGGCCTACCCGCCTCCCGCCGGCGAAGCCTGTCCCCGCCCGGGTGCGGGGTCCTGGGGGGGGTGTCCACGACAGAGTCGCACACACGCACCCCCTCCCTGCAGTGGAAACGTGTCCTGCCGGGCTTCCGGGCGCTCCCCGACCCCTGGGGCCGCTGCACTTGCGAGACTTTGCTTTTGTCGGTAGCGTCCGAGCCCGCTCGTGAAACCAAACTTTACTGCGCCGTGACCTCGCCGAGTGCGCGAACGGGGAAGAGCCGGCGCCGCTGAGCATCCGTGTTCACCCCATGCCCTGAATTTCAAACTTCTCCCGTCCCCACTTTTTAAATCCGTTTCCTGGGCTGACAACAAAAGGGCCGGGAGATCTAAACTTAGCTTAACCAGTCGCCGGCCCTGCTCAGACCTAGGAATTTTGAACCATTCAAGACATTTCTTACAGATTGCTGGCGGTCTTGCCATCCACACACATTTTGAAAAATTGCTTTAAAAGTAAATGCCCGATTTAAAGTACTTGATTAAAACATTCACAGATTCAAATGTTGAATTTTAAAGTGCCCCCGGTGTGTTTCGGTAGTATATTACAGTGTCCACGAGTTGAGCGTTTTTCTTTCATTCATTTTGGATTGCTTTTTAACGTCTTTGTACTACCAGTGAATTAAGATACTTAAGTAAAACTGGTCAAAAAAATTTTAATATAATGCTTTGGCTCGTAGATGCTGATCTTCGATTTTCTCAATTTGAGGATTTTCACTGAATTTTGGAAAAAGCATAATAGATGCATTTTTTTCGTTTTAAAGCAAAGGCTAATTGATGCATAGGACTACTTAGTTCAGTAGCAGAATATTGAAGGTAAAACATTCTTAAATAACTGGTGGTTTTTGTATTTTATTGGTAATTGTATTAGAATTTTGATATGTAATCAAGTCTTTTTCCAGACCATTGCTTTCTCTTTCCTGTTTCTTTGGCAGTTGGCTTAATCATCTCACTTTTTTGCTATTGGTTAAGAGCTGCAGTAAAAAGTTTGTGGGACTTTAACTTCTTGGGCAGAAGAGATGAAATTTTAAAATTGTCTTTGGGTTACTTTTCCAAAGTAAATCTGAATTTACTTTATGCAATATGAAGTTTTCTTTAATGAGCAATTCTTATCGTAGTTGCACTTTTTCACTGTAATATTTTTTGGTGCTTGCAAGTATGTTAATCATCATTACATTTTACATTCAGATAGTGATCTTTTTGCCTGAGAATTTGAGTACATTTTCAGATTTCAGTGGGGTAAGGTTTGGATGTTTGCTTATTACTCTGAGTGTATTCATGCTGTAGAGACATTCTTCAGTATGTCAAGGGAGAAGAAAACTGTAGAAGAAAATGGAAAATTGTTCCTAAATATGCTGCCTGAAACATTCATGGAGAAAATTTTAAGGAGAATTTCTTTTTTTATGTCTTTAGGTGGTGGTAATGGGGTCCGTGGGTTAAGACTGAAACTCTTCAGGGGACACTCAACTTCCTCATCCTTTGGGCACTAACCAGTGCCTAGGCAGTTTTCTTGAAAAGCTGTGCTGTAAATCAGCAGAGAGAGGACGATCAGTGCAGTTACATGATGTTCTTGATTCATCCATAGCATTCTTTAGTAATGAGTGCAGTGTTATACTACTCATCGACTTAAAACTGAATTTTTTAGACGCATCAGTGAGAGACAGTTGTAAAACCTAACTAAAGAGAGTGTCAGACATAAAAGTAACGAAAAGAGTCAGCCCTAGAATAATTTTCATTGTAAATACCCTTTAGCAAGCTCTGCCATCATCTGCCTTTGTCTTTTAGTGATGTAAATTGGATCTTGACTTTTCTTGCTCAGTGAAATAAAGAATTCTGAAAGCTAAATTCTTAAGTATATCCTCTGTCCCAAAGAATAAATTAACAGGTATGCACCTTGTCCTGCATCTGTGTGGTGATAAAGTGTTAGTAGCACTGAGTAGAGGCCAGAGACTCCAAATCATTCTGTTGCTTTTTGCAAGACTCTTCTTTGCATTGTCATTGTCATTTCTTTTTTTAAAGTTGCGGCTTTGTTAATTTGAGGTGCTTAGGCACATAAAAGTTCAATATAAAACGTGGAAACAACACCATCACCTTTCACTTGTAAAATGGTTTTCTAAAAAGTCTCCCTATGACCTTTGTTAGCCTATAGTCTTTATCGCTCAACAGCCAAAGTGATCCTGATAAAATTTATCAGATCATGTTGCTTCTTTTCTTAGAGGGCTTCCCTTCTCAGTCATAGTAAAATCCATAGTCCTTATTTTGCTCTACCAGGCTTTGAGTGTTTTGAGTCTCTTCTTCCTCTCTGACTTCATTACCTTACTCTTTCTCCAGCCACACTTCTACTCTGCTACTGAGGTTTTCTCCAACTACTCTGCATAAAACAGCGGGCTCTCTTCTGACATTTCCTAACCCTTTTTTTTTTTTTTTTTTTGGTAAGATTAGCCCTGAGCTAACATTTGTTGCCAATCCTCCTCTTTTTGCTGAGGAAGATTGGCCCTGGGCTAACATGCATGCTCATCTTCCTCCACTTTATATGTGGGATGCCTGCCACAGCCTGGCTTGATAAGCGGTGTGTAGGTCCGCGCCCGGGATCCGAACCTGTGAACCCTAGGCTGCTGAAGCAGAGCATGTGAACTTAACCACTACGCCACTGGGCTGACCCCCTCACCCCTTTTAAGCCAGATTTTTCCCTATAGCATTTATCACTTTCCAACGTACTGTATAATTTACTAACTGAAGTTTATTTTATTTTTTCTTCACTCTAATGCAAGTTCTGTGAGAACAGGATTTATCAGTTTGGGTCACTATTTTGTCCCCAAACACCTGAACAATGACGTATAGTAGGTACTTAATAAATAATGGATTAACATGCTTTCAGCTGGGAAACATTAAAAATAGTAATTGTGGTTTGAAACTTTAGATTATGCAAGTCTCAGTCTTTTGCATAAACTGCTAAGTTACTCCTGTCCATGCATTATTTTCAGTTCAGGGGTCCACATTTTTAAAGGAGGGTATGACAGAATGTGACCTTGAAACTGATTTGTCAGAATATAGAAGGAACTAAGAATGCTTGGCTAAGAATAGAGTGATATAACTACCTTACTGTTTAAAATGTTCTCATTTAGAAGCCAAATTAGACTTATTTTTGCTAGTTCCATAAGGTGGAACTAGAATTGTGGTGATACATATTGAAAGGGAAGAGGGGTGGCAAGAGTGAATGTGGGAAAATCAGTTAAGACTGTTGCAGTAGCAGTCCAGAAAAGATGAGGATAGCTTGAATTAGGGTGAGAACTGTGGAGATGGGCAAAAGTTAATGGGATTTTGTGATTAATAGGCCTCAGTTGATGGATTGAAGGTGAGGGAGAGAGAAATTTCCAAGATGACTCCTGAGTTAAATAGCTGGGTTGATGGTGGTGCCAATTAAGGACAAAGGTTCTTTTGATTCTGACATAGTGGGTTTGAAGTACATTTGGAGCTTTCAGGTAGAAATTTCTGTAGGCACTTAGATATGTGGTTCTAAAATTCAGAGGCGAGGTATGGGCTGGAAATAGAAAATTGGAGTCACTTATATAGATAGTTGAAACTATAGGTGGTATTGCCTAGGGAAGGGATTATAACTTGGAAAAAAGCAACTCTGAAACGGAATTGCAATGGCTTCTAACAACAACAACAAAAAAGAAGTTTATTGGAGGAATGTGAGCTCCCAAAGAATACTGTGAAGGTCAGAGAAGTAGGAGGTGAGTGTGGTATTACAGAAACCAAAGGAAGAGAGAGGTCAGTAGGGTTATGTGTTGATGAGAGTTGAGTAAGGTAAGAAGAGCTAAAAGATTTTTCATTGAACTTAACAACATGGAGCTCATTGGCCTTTTGAACAAGCAATATGGTAAGCTGCTTATTTTCAAACTGTTGCTCCTCTAATTACTTAACTAGATCTAAAAGTACTGTGATCATAGATCAAGAAATTATCCACCCACATTACAGAAGAGAACACTTTATCAAATGTTTACTATGTGCCAACCACTCTGTTCTAGACATTTTACATAAATTTTCATCTGATATTTTCAGCAGCCTTGCAATCTTGGGTGTACTAGTCCAGTTTACAGAAAGGAGTCCGAGAATCTAGAGAAATTAAATGACTTGCTAAAAGAGCACTTGCTAAGAATCTACATCCAAGTCCATCTGACTCTTTGGCCTTTAGTTATTCATTACATCAGTTGGCCTCCCAAACTCGAGATCAGTGCTGTCTAGTAGTAGACCTTTCTGTGATGATGGGAATGTTCTGTATCTGTGCTGCTTCCCACTACAGTAGCTGATAGTGACATGTGGCTGTTGAGCTCTTGGAATATGGCCAGTGCAACTGAGAAATGGAATAGAGGTTACTGTATTGGACAGTGCAGATATAGATCAGAAGTCATTAAGAATCCAGTAAATAATAAAGCAGAGTCTTTTCTTGTAATAAGAAGAGATAGAGAAACATTCTTCATTTGAAAGGAGTACTGTTTTGCTTATATGCTAGTTTTAGGTGCTGTAAAGGAATATGGTAGGTAACCTTTCTTTGTTTCAACAATCTCAAACTTTCAGAAAAGTTCCAAGTACAATACAAAGAACTTTTTTCCCCTGAACCATTTGAGAGTCCGTTACAGATGCATTCTCATCACCCCAAACAAGGA